CTGCTCTCCACGTTAGACCCCACTTTACATCCCTTTTAAACCTTGCTGGTCCCCAATGGAGATCTCAAACGTGACGCTTCGCAGCAGATCTGACCCGCTCTTACCCCTTGTCCTCCCCCCATATCAGCTTCCTTGTTGATTTATCTGCGCTTTATCGGTATCAAGTCATCTACCACCCCCTTCTCCACCTCCTCCCTCGTCTCTCCAGGATCAGCGAGGATCGATTCGACCATATGCACGCTCTCACTCACTCTCGCTCCACACACCTACTGCTCTGTGTCAGCAGGTTACTCTTGGCCAACCTCTTCTGCAGTGTGAGTTTTAAAGAGGAACTAGTTGGTGTAACGTCTTTGTGCAGCTGTGTCTATGGCCGTTTAAAAGCAAAAGGCGAAAGCAATATGAGATGAATCACAACCAGGTCATGACAATGATGTTTCAATATGATAAACGGTGGCAGAATTCCTCTGGTGGGAAACCTGTTTATTTTTGTTAGGTTTTGACTCAATTTGATGACGCTAAATGATTGGGAAACATTATTCTATAGTTCTTACCCCATGTGGCTATGTGGACTGTAGCTTTATGTGGTCTTAAGCAGTCACGCACGTGGAGTACTACTTCAAGCCTTGGGCTGTTACATACGTAGACATCTTCTAATTCCTTTGCACTGAAATATATTGTTTTTAAGTGTACGGACAGTTCTCCTGCATTGAGCTTTAAGTGGTGATGCTGTACATGATTCCCTGCCTTTGGTGGATGCTTATTCTATACACAGTGAGGTTTCAGGTAAATAACCAGATTAATTATAATAATAATTAAATAAAAAATATAGAGTTTTATAGAGGTGTGCGATAACTACAGGCAATGATGGTCGAACCCAACTGCAACTTCACAGGACAAAACATCCCAACTTGACTTAATACCTGCCATGTGTGACACACACACACATACACACACACACACACACAATGTCAGTATCTTCTTATTAGTCATTACTTTAAGTTTAACTACTGTTATTTTTATAGTATTGCCCCTTGTTTTTTCCTCCATCTGTTCGCCCCTAAGTCCCCACTTGCTTTTCGGAAGGGAAAACATTCCAGCTGCTGAAAGCCCAGCCACCTCACACACACACACACACACACACACACACACAGACACTTACTACAGACATTAAAAATGCACAGACATGCATACGGTCATCACAAGGATGCAAGCGCTTCCTCGTGCACACACCTCCCCTTGAAGTTCTCCCTGTAATAACACACACTGTCGTCCATTCACTGAGCTGTGCGGCTGACTTTCGAGGCCGCGATGCCTGGCTCAAATCCCCGTGGCCCCACTGGCTTTGACAGGGCTGTTCTGAATCCACATGGAGTTCAACTGCTACTTCCCAACTGGAAGCTTTTAGTCTTTTATGACAACTGGCTCTGAAGAACTCGTTTTAAATTTTAAATGTATTCGATTGACTTAAGACGACACAAGAATGCTTCAAATTTGTGGATCTGTTAACTTTTATGGGAGTCTTTTCATATTAGGGTGTACTTACTGACATTGTTCAGATCTTAGAAATAAGGTGATGGCCAAGTATAGATTGACAAAAACGGGCTTGTACCTCTCTCTTGTTGTTCTCACACACACATAGACCCCAACTCTGTCTATCCATGTCATGAATGAAAAGTCCACTCCCCCAACTCAATGTGCTGCCTCAGCCAGTCTTTCACAACTGACTCATTCATAAAAGTGTGGGGCTGCAGTTGGACTGAGTGTGTTTGTGTGGATCAGGCCAAGTGTGTTTATGTGTCCACACGATTAAGTGGACGAGAGGTTGGGGAGAAATACACTGTTCTACTCAGAAGGCAAAACAAAACACACAAATCACTGAGGAACATTTATGCCTCCTCGGAGGGAGAGACGTGCTGTACCCCCGTATATTTGGCGAACACCTGGGTGTTTTTTGCTTGCTTTGTTGCGTAGCAGCTGTATTTTGGAAAAGTGGAGCACACAGGGTTGCATGTATCTTAGTCTTTCTTGGGGGGAGGGAAGGGGGGGAGCTTGATTCACCCATCACCCCATGCTCTAAAAATGGGGCCTGATTGGGCCCTCAGTGGAGCTCGAGAAAAACAAGCCAAACAAGAGGAAGGCTGTGAATTCATGACAAAGCAGGAAAGGCACAGGCGAGCAGACACACTGCAGAGACAATCTGGATTAATCTGAGAAATTACTGTAAACTTCTCCTGGTTTCTTAAAATCTTGACATACTCATACATTTTATTTTTTCAATAGGATTCCAATTTACCATATTTTAGAAAAAAAAGTAGTAAAAACAACTTCTGACAGAGGACAAGGCAGCGTTTTCCTTTGTCACCTTTCCTTCTCAGTTTCTCTGAGTATCTCTGTCTTTGTCTTGCTTTCTCTTCTTTACTCAGTTTTACTCGCTCAATGAAAACACTGTCACAGCGCTCTATAGCCACAACTTCCTATATAATTACTGCTAAGCACAAAACTAAACAATCATCCCACACAGGCCTGAAATCGCTGGATTAATCCACATCTTGGAACACTCAGTGTGTGTGTTTGCAGAGAAAAGAGAGAGAGGAAAAGTAAGGAGAAAAAGGAAAGGGGGAGGGGGTGCTGAGATTCTTGAGTCTCTGACTTAGTTCGTACAGACACAGGAAAGGAAGGAGGAGTTTGGAGTATCCACTAGGATGAGGGAGGGGGTGTCAGAGAGGGGGATCTGTACTACTGTAGGGCTTTTTTTTATGAATGAAGGCTTAAGGAGAGGGAGAGAGCAGCCGAGGACTGAAGAGTGAGAGGGGGGTGGAGGGTGGGCTGCACTTCCTCTTACGTACACAGAAGGAAAATTTATGAATGGGTCCCATCTCTGGAGCTGCTCTAAGTGTAAACAACATAGTTGGACAAAGAAGACCGAGCTCTCGGGGCAGGCTTTGCCTCGTCGGCTGTTCCGACTGTGGCCTTTTACAGTTCCTCTTGAGCACCAGGAGTGAAGCAGCAACATGTTTCAAGCATTTTTAATTAGGTATGTGCGTTATAAATTTGAGTGACACCTCCATGTGTTTCTTCCCCACAGGCAGTAGACAAACAAAAGGAATCTGTCTGACAGCCCAGCGTCAGGCAGTGACAACCCCTGAAGGCGCTGTCAGCACAGAAAACCCAACATTAATCCTCAACTCTTAAAGAGATAAAAATCACATCCTCCTTTCACAAAAGGACTAATCGTTATACTTCAGCGGAGAAGTAAAATACTAGATGCCACTATAACCGATGGCTCAATTAACTTTTAACTCACACACGCAGGTCAGCAAGTACATAAAAGTTGTGTGTTTTTATAACCTCCCCTGAACGGCGGCTTTCAGACAGAGCGCGCTTGTTAGCTGTGAACCAAAGGAGAATGAACCAGATGAGATAGATTTTCCAGATGTGCAGGTATTGCACAATCCCTCCTCTGCTTCTTCCTCTTCTCTAACATTCCAACATGTCCCCTTGTTTTTCTGCGTCTCCTCTTTTTGGCCGCTCCACTGGCTCCCTCTTTCTGTCTCGGCGCCCTCTATGTACACCGCGCCCAAACAGGTAACAACCTGACTGAGTAAACAGCAATGTTTAATTTTAACATGCTGCCATTTTCAATGGAAGCCTCAATTATATTTATGGTCAGCCAGGATTATGGTTTTCCTTTATGTCTTGTTGTTAGTTTCCAAAGCAGGTGAGTCACCTGTTTTTCTAAAAGTGCACCAGACGACTCCGAGTGCTGTTTGTGAATGGATAAGCCCCTATTGTGATTTTACCAACCTGTTTACAATTAAAATATTTATAGTCAGTTGTCAATTTCAAGTTTCCATCAATCAAAGCTGAACAAAGATGTTCCCACCAGTGTCTGTGCCTATTGACCAAAACCAGCAGGGACACTGTCGAGGCTGGAGCATCTCTGCCGCTTATAAGTGAGCTGCCCATCAAACTGAAGCCCCCTGTGACCCTGCAAATCATACCCAGGTCAACCGTTAGCAGAGCCATGACAGCTGATTGGCTGACAGGCCAGAAGGTTAAGTAGACATGACCTCGAAGCGCCCCAGGGTTCATCTGCACTTCCTCCTGCACATTGTTGACCGACAGACGGTGACAATGTTGCACAGGGCATGTGTCACAGAGAGGGTGACCAGTCGAGGTTTCAAGCTGGTTAAAATCACATGATGTTTACAGACGAATGACACGCAGCCTTTCAGTGACGGGAAGTCGCTTTGAGACGGACTGAAGGCTGTCAGTTTTACATTCAGGATGAGATTGTTCCGGAGTATTCCGAGTTCTCCTAAAGTAACCCGGGCTCCGTCATTGCTGGAGATAGAGAATTCAGCGGAGCAGTGAATGAGACTAAAAAAAGCTGTTTGTGGAGCAGCACATGTTCCCGCCCAGATCCTGACCAGCTATTGTTGACAAGCACCACATAAAAGGGAAACTTATTCAAATAGTCTGCTCAGTTGTGCGGCCCAGGAATTTGCTTTTCCATTTTACACCTTCCGATTTGCACAAAGGATCCACTTTGATCCTGGTTCCTGAATAATTTCTGTACTGGTTTCCTGGGCTGAGTCCATTCAACTCTTCAAAGGCATGCAAACGACCAATAGCTGCACATAATACCAGCATCCAAATTCACCTCAAGACTGCCTCATTAGGACTTGTCTTTTACACACTGCTTTGTTTGTCTACTGTAACGTCATTATAGTATTTACTTCTCAAGGCTCTGGTCTCACAGCATAAACTGACCACTGCTTTCACCCTTCCTCTGGCCGGAGCTCCCAAGGTTACACACAGGATCTGACCAAATCTGTAATTTGGCTAAGACTAAGAGTCTTTGCACACGCTCTGTCCTGAATGATCATTGACATACAAAGTTTGAAGAGATTCAGATTTTTTGCCAGATGTGAACACATGACACACAGTATCTTTTACATCAACACAAGTACTGACAGGGCACGTGGAAAGGTACTCACAGTTCTCAGAATGGAAATCAGGAACAAACTGCTCGTCACTGTCAGGAACCTGAGCTGTAATGAGAAGACAAAAATCATTAATCATTTTGTTGCTTAGCAAGTAGGCATCCCTACCATCAAAATAGTGGGACAGTGTCTAAAAAAGATCATGAGGTTCCTGAGGAACTTGTCCCAGTTCCCTAGTTGACTCTGGTCAGTATTTACATGTAGAAGTCCATGCTTATCCCTAATCCATTCATCAAAGATTCTCTGGATATTCTTCTGTTATTCTGAGTGCATTTTAACCAAACCAATCTCCTTCTGCATTAGTCACATGTAAGCAGAGACGGAGAATAACTGCACGGGTATTTTTGGACAGTACACAGAGTTCAGTTCACGTCTGAATAGATTCAATCTGATACTTGTACATTTAAAATGAACAGGGAAGAGGAATGAAGCAAATGGCGAAAGAAATAAAATGAAAGGTCACATTCAGTTTACAGTTAGAAGAGTCAATACTGTGACACCGCGTATGTGAGTGATATTGCGATTGGATCTACAATTACTGGCAGTGGTGTACGATTTCAGTGACGCCCATAAGGCAAACGCTCATAGTTAAAGTCATTCAATATTTCACGGAAAAAGTAGAGCTGCTCAATGCCAAGGCAAGGTGCTGCAGAGAGACGCACACTAAATTGTATGCGGACCATTCGCCAATGTCTTTGTCGTTGTTATGGACCTGGAAAATTGTCTGACTCAACGTAGTTGAGAAGGTCACATTCATCCAAACCACAGCGTGATCTCAGTGGCATTACCTATCTGGTATTTTTACTTCTGATTTAATGACAAACACAGAACAGAACCCTGGCTATCAACCTTTAATCAGGCATTGTTCCAGCTGCACAGGTGTCTAGGTTGTAAAAAGTCAAGCTTGCGTCATGGTAAGAGCTGGGAATAATGTGATGACCATCATTAAATGTTGTGAAGGAAATCAGAGGCATAATGGTCTACAAAATGGCACCGCAGTCTGTGTAACTTTAGATCTGCACGAGAGGAAAGAAGAGAAAAACACCTACATTCGGCCACACTAACCCTCTGTTCACAGTTATTGCTACAGATTTCAGAAAATTACACA